CCCCTGTGCATAGAACCACCCACCCTGTGAGAGGAGCCGCTCTTCTGTGTGGGAGGTGCTGTTTGGCTCAGACACCCAGAGACAGTCACATTGGCTCCCTGTCCCAGCCCTGTTTCCATGTGTGGGTGGGTGTACAGTGGGTGTAAGCCCACCACAGCTTCAGTACAGCAGAAGGAGGTGACCATCCCATTGCGGGGGCCTGGGGTCCATCTGTCTCGCTAGGGTTTCCTTGCTTCTCACTGCCCCTGTTTTGCCAACCGTGATGTCCGTTCCTAGAGGGCGGGTCTCCCGGGGGCGTGTCAGGGACACAGGGTCACTTTGGGGAGCCAGTGGCTGCTCTGGGCTGTTAATTTTCCCCACCCTGGGTCGAGGAGGTTCCCAGAGTAGGGGCCCCAGGTAAGGGGACCCCTGGGCTCCTGGCTCTTCTTTCCTGGGGGCTGTGAGGCCCCTCTCCCTCCACTGGCTTCTCTGTCTTTGATGAACTGAGAGAGAAGTAGTCACGCAGCCACCGCCCAGGGAAACACCCCTGCCTGGCTCCAGGTCCGGCCCAGCCAACCTCAGAGACGCCTGGCCCAGCGCGCCCATGCACACACACGCACACCGCGGAGGACACAGCTTCAGCTGTGGCCGTTCCCCTTCCTGGTGACATGTCCCAATGCAGGCGCCACAGCCACCCGCCCTGACTGGGGGTGGGGTGGGGGGTTCTGGTCACAGCCCTTCCATGCCTGGCATCTGCCGTGTCTTCAGCGTTCCCCACCAGCAACCCAAGGGCTTCTCCCCACTGCCTGTCCTTTTCATTGTCCGACTTTGGTTAAAAAAACAACCAGACTCCGGCTCTCCTGCTTAGTCCTAACCACTCTGTCCCCTGAGCTCTGGACCACTCTGGGTGGATCAGAGAAACAAATTCTTGGGCACTCATGTGTGTGTATAAGAAAGAGTTTTATGTACAAGAGCAACTGAATCTAGAGAAAACATCCCAGCCCACTCCAGATCAAGTCCGTAAGTCTGATATTAGCCCATATGGCCAATGCCAATCTACAACGTCCTCTTCAGACTCACGAAACACATGCAGTGATGCCGAGAGCAGGAAGATCACAGGCCAGTGGGTGGGAAGTCTTGTGGATCCACCGGTGGTAGAGGCATCTCAGCGCTGGCGTGAGTCTCCACGTGGCTCCTCCATCTCCAGGGCTCTGGTTCCATCCGCATAGCTCCGTGTGTCTTGTCAGCAGGAAGACAAAGCAGAGAATGAGTGTGTGTCTGCGCTCCAGTGAGCTCTTTATCTTCATAGCTCCTCCAAATGAGGTCACCGTGCTGTGGACCTGATTGACAGACTAGACTCCACCCCTCATGAGTAATAGTCTCGAGTTGACACCAGACGATGTCACCACCACAGGACTTCTGTTGGTGGGCAGTGTCTCCCAGCCCTCCTGCCTGGCGGTGGGAGTTTCTGTGCTTTCACAGGGCAGGACTTTTGTGGCATATGGCCAGACCTACCAAACAATGAGATTATGACTGGGACGCCACCCCACAGCTGTGATAGAAAAGGCATCGGTGGAAAGACCCAGGCCCGCCACAGAGGGGACCCGTCCAGCCTGGGCAGCTGGAGTAAGAATTTCAATGGCTGTGACTGGCTGTTCGGGACCAACCTTCACCTGCCTTCAGACTGCCCGCTGGCCCTGTTTCCACTGCCACCCTTCTCGCTTGATTGTCTCGTAGACTACAGACGACATTCCATTCGGTGTTGAGAGACCGCCTTGGGCAGTGATCACCGTGGATCAACTTGTTAGCAGTGAGTTGTGAGTTTCTCTTGCTCAGGAAGATGAACGGGTGTGGACTTGGTGGTGTGAAGCTGGGCTCTGGACTTCACTGGAGAAGAGTCAGCTCTGCTGGATGTACCTCCGAGGACACCTCACAGAGATGTGACGGTGGAAACCTTCAGGAACCTGGACTCAGGGTAGCAATGGACAAAGACTTCCAGGGAACAGCTAATAATGGGATTTATGAAGAATGAATCTTGGCCATTCAACATGGAAGAAATCTGTGCGTTCAATGGCAGTAAAAATCACCCCAACATCCAGGAAAGGCCTCTGAGAGAACCCCTGGTAGAGACCCGCCCCGCGACTGAAGAAGGGCCTGGTGAGGACTGCAAAGAGGTGACCCGAGTGGACGCTTCCTCGGCCCGGCTGAGGATCAGACTGTGTTCCGAGGAACTGCTCGTGGTATTCCTGCTGAATGTCATGAGGGTGGTGATCACACACTCAACCGTCAAGTCAGATTGTGAGGTTCCCAGATTGGGGTGTCTTGGTTCTTGCTTTGCAGCATGGAAAGAATTCTCCGGCAGAAGCACATTTGCTATCCAAATGACTTTTATGAGGGAAAGGGAAGTTTCAGGTTTTACAGTCTCAGAAAACACATGCTGTTTCAGGAAAGTAAGAGGCCGCATGGAAACCACGCGGGGGTCCACAGCTGAAAAACCACATGGAAAGTATAGGGGAACAGGGCGTGAACCCACGCTTGGGGCTCTAGTAGATCCCAGAGGCCCAGAGAGAGGGTGCCGGGCTGTGTGCCTACTTATTCCCGCCCACCCCACTGGCTGGGGGAGGCGTGGTTGAGAGCATTGGCTGATCCTACTGGCTGAGCTTAGGCCTACCTGTGTGATGTCATGTGGCTGGGCCCAGTCTGTGTGCCCAGGTGGACCTCCCACAAGGGCCTAGGGGGCTTGTGTCTGAGCATGCTCAGTTTGTATCTTCCCATAGGTGTCTAATTGGTGCCTGATTTCTTTCCAACCCTGCTGTTGTGGCCCTATGCAGGTACAGTGAACCCTCGTTTATCGCGGTTAATCGGTTCTAGACCCTACCGTGATAAATGAAATTCCGCGAAGTAGGATTCCTTATGTGTAAATCAAATATTTTCATAGTTAGAGCATAGAGGACATGAAAAAACACCCTTTAGTCACCATTACACTCATATTACCCAATTTATTAAACAAAAAACGGAAACTACAGTAAAACATTTTGGACGTTACAATTATCATTTATTATTTATTATATTATTTATGGCATCAAGTGTATACAGTATAAGCCAATCAGTGGCATTAATGACAGAGCATGCGCTGTTATGCAAAAACCGCGATAGAGTGAAGCCGCGGAAGTCGAAGCGCGAAGTGGTGAGGGTTCACTGTATTGGGGAGACACCACCACCACCACCCCAGTCTCTATTTTGGCAACCTAACAAGATCACACACTGGATACCAACATTACCAGGATAATGAACGTGTGGACACTTGCAGTGTTCCTCTTATCTAAAACCTCACATGCAAACACTAAGAAGACAAAAGCCTTGTAAACAAAACGATTGCGGGAAGCCTGTGGTGTTCCCTCACTCCACTCTAAACATATGAGAAGTCACATGTAGAGAGGCCTTGTGCATGCGTGCTGTGTTCCAACAATGAACAGCCACATAATGCCTCACAACAGAGGCATTATGAATCTAAGGAATGAGGGAAGCCTTTTGTTGGCCGTGAGCACTATTGCAGCATGAGAGAAATCACACTGGAGAGAGGCCTTCCTTATGAACGTCAAGGATTTGAGAAAGACATTTATAATTTTTCAACACTGTACATACATAGAAAACTTCACAGTGGGGAGAAGATTTATGAATGTAAAGAATGTGGGAAAGCCTCTAAAGATTGCTCAGCACAGGCGTAACACATCAGAACACACAGTGGAGAGAGGCCTTATGGACGTACAGAAGGTGGAAGAGGCGCCATTCGGTCATATAAAAGAAAACAGAGGAAAGAACGGAAAGGTTGTGGGAAAGCCTTTTATGGTCTTTACACCCTGAGTGGACATAGAAGAATCCACAGTGGGTAGAGGCCTTAGGAATGTAAGGAATGTGGGAAATCCTTCAGTCAGCCGTCAGCATGATTACATACAGTGGAGAGAAGCCTTATGAATGAAAGGAATGTAGGTCCGCCTTTAAATATCATTCAGGACTGGCCCAATATACCAGAACACGCAGCGGAGAGAGGCCGTATGAATGTACAGAATATGGGAAAGGCTTCAGGTGGTCATCAGCATTCTCCCGACGTGAGAGCACACATGGTAGAGAGAGGCCTTATGACCGTGAAGAATGTGGGAAAGCCTTTAGATATTGTTCAGGATTGTCTTGCCATCTGAGAACACAGTGGAGAGAGACCTTCTGAATGTGAGAGATGTGGGAAAGCCTTTAGTCCTCAACTCTCAAAAAACAGACGTATTTGGGGAAGAGAAGCTGTTTAAATAAAAAGGTGGGAAATAATGTTATTGGTTGAGAACCCTGACTCAACACAAAACAGTTTGCATTTTGGAGAAGTCTTTAGTGTAAAAGTTCTAAGAGACCCTTTGCTTTCTTCATGGGACCCATGATTCATCCTGAAGAAATACAAATGTGAGGACTATGATAAGGTCTTTATTCCTCCCTCATTTCTCACTAGATCTATAAGAGTGTCAGGGGCGAGAAGAACTTGCCTTATGTCTGTGAGGAACAAGGAACTTCAATTCTCCCTAAGCCTTTAAAAGCCAAATGGAGGAGATTTACCAGGGAGAAAAAGAATACGTATGTACTCATGTGGGAAACCCTTCAAGCATGCCTCATCTTCTTGAACCCCGAAATCAAGCAAGTGCAGAGTTCAGGGCAAGTTCTGCTTCCACCCAGTGAGGACTCCTGTGGCTGGGATCGTCTCAATTAGCTTAATTCATGTCTTCATTAACGTCCAATTAACTACCTCCAGTGACGTTTTAAATCATTCGTGCTCAAGGAACGGAAACATCTCAGTCTTTTGGAATTCTTTCAGTATGGACTCATCCTGTGACTATAAACGGTGAATCTATTTCCCCTCTTAGTATCCCTATCAGCCCTCAAACACACACTACGATTGGAAGGAAAGGACCCTCCCAATTATAGCATGTGGCTTTAGAGAAGTATCATAGATCACGTTCTTTCCTGATGTTCTTACGTCTTCGCTGAAAGCCCCCTCAAACTGTGACATTGTGACGTGTGCTTTCTTTGAATGTTTCCAATTATTATTTTTTTTAATTAAAACACACACAAAGAAATCTCAGGATGGAGATTCTACAGTGTGGATTGTTTTCCAAAATAAACAAGCAAACAAACAAATGAATTTACAACCAAAACTCACTGCCATTGAGCCGATACCAACTCACAGCAACGCTACAGGACAGGGCCATGAGACACGTGACTCAGCCCATCCCGGCTCCGTGGAGAGCAGTCCCTGTGGGTTTCTGAGTGTCACTCCCTGCAGGAAGAGACAGCCTCATCTCTCCCCTGAGGAGGGGTGGTGGTTTCAAACTACTGACCTTGGGGTTTCAGACTGATACGTAAGCACGAATGTCCCCAGGGCTCCTTAACATTCCAGGGCAGAGACTCACAAGGGAGAACTTCAAGGCCCGTGGCACAGTGAGTCCCATGTTGCTCTGCTAACCACAAGGCCATCAGTTTAAAACTACCAGGTTTCCAAAAATGCCGATACGCTAACATAATAGAAATTTCCAGAGGGGGGCTGTGTCACCTCTCCTGCCTCAGGGATGCCCCTTCCCCTCCAGCAGACGGGCCGCTCGCCACTAGATGGCCTCGTCATATGGGAGCCAGGTGGACATGCCAGGTTCCCTTGAGTCCTGGAGTCTGAGCAAGGACCACAGTAGCCACAATGGCTTCAGGGTGGGACATCTCAGTGCCCATGGCCAGAGTAGCCCGTTTCCTACATACAGGGGACAGCTCAGGCCCTCAGCTGGACCTCCCTGGGAGTGGCTGCCCTGTGTCTGTTCTCAGCCAGTGACCTCGCCTTCTCTCTCGTCTCTACCTGCACCTCTCCTGCCACACACGTGGCCCCCAGTCCACATCCTTGGGGAGCATCCCAATCTCTTTAATAAACCCGGGCGTACCTGTAGAGGGGCAGCGGAGAAGAGACAGCCGCTCGGCGAGGTGGACTGACGCCATGGCTCATCAAGGTGCTGGGACATGAGAATGCCTGTGAGGGTGGGGCAGCCCGGCATGACCCTGACCCTCTCCTTCTCTGTTGTGCACAGGGCTGTTTGAGGGTGAGACGGGTGCAGGCCCCCCGTGTCGCGTGGTGCCCGGGGCATCTGAGTTGGAGCTGGCTTGAGGGCCCTGGGTGACGGTGGCCCTGTCATCAGATTGCAGAAGGGCCCCAGGGCGAGGCTCAGCAAGGCGGGTTGGTGCACCCTCAGTGGCAGCACCCGAGTCCCGGGGGGTTCTGTCTCCGTAACCAGAATGCGCTTCTGCCTCCCTTCCCCCAGGCCTCGTCATCTGAAGACATGGGCAGGTGGGTGGGGATCTTGCTGGCCGAGACAGGCTCATCCACAGACCCCGAGGCCTTGCACTACGACTACATCGATGTGGAGATGTCCGCCAACGTCATTCAGACAGCCAAGCAGACCTTCTGGTGAGGCAGGGCTGGTGTAGTCCATGGGGCCAGAAGGCAGAGGGGGCGGGCATGGGGGTGGGTGGGACCAAGGAGACAGCCGCAGGGCATCGACAAGCCCGGGGAATGGTCAGCAGGATCGAGGAGATGGCCATGGGGCGGTCAGTGGGGCTGGGGTGTGGAATAGGAGGAGGTCAGCCAGGCGGGAGACAGCCAGGGGTGGGCAAGGGTCCGAGGGCATGGATTCCCACAAGTTGACATTTTAAGACACTCTGGTGACACAGCGGCTAAGCGCTCCTGCTGCTAACTTGAAGGTCAGTGGTCAAACCCAGCTCAGGAGAAAGACGGAGCTGTCTGCTCTGCGTGGGCAACTCCCCTCTGCCCTGCAGAAGCACCCTAGGTCAGGAGCAGTGGGCCTGGGCCTGATTGGCATTTAGCGTTTGCCATGACACGTCACCACAGCCTGGGCTCACAGGGAGACAGGGACTCCCGCCTGGAGGGGCGCAGTCTGCACCGCTGGGCATTTTCCTCCTCGGATGCAGCCCCTCTCGTCAGTGTCCTAGGGCCTTGGTCCTTGTCAGTGCAGGTCACCGTGAGTGCTGGGGGTCACAGACTCACACCCGTGCTACATGACCACCGCTCCTGTCACTTGCACGTGGACACGTCTCCTGGACAACCCCAGTGCTGCTCTGTGAGCCCCGTGGACACTCAATGGACAGAATGAAGCAGCAGGTGACGCAGTGACGGCATCAGGGAGGAGGCCCCTGCAGGAGGGACGCTCACCCTGCTGCCCGGCGGCAGCAAGCATTTCGGGTGGGAAGGGCGGCACATGCGGGAGCCCGTACAGGGGCATGTGCCAGGACATGGGTGTGCTGCTGTGGCTAAATCTGGTGGCAGAAAGGGGGAGCCAAGGAGCCGAATGGGACCTTTCAAAGGGCAGCTCAAGGAGACAGAGCCAGACGGTATCACGAGACGTGCAGAGACCTAGAGGTAGGGGGCCCACAGGGAAGCGTGCACTCAGCGTTCTGAGATGGGAAGAACCCAGGAAAAGAAAAGGAAGTCAAGCCTCGAGCTGCGGTTCTGAAAGATCCTGGAGACAAAATACTGAATGACGCAAGAAGCATCCAGAGAGGATGGAAGGAATCCACAGAGTCGCTGTGCCAAAAGCACCAGCTGACAGCCCAGCATTTCCGAGCGAGAGCCAAGGGGGCTGAAGGAAGCAGTCCTAGCGGCACTGGAAACGTTCACCAAGAACAAGGCTCCAGGCACCGACGAGACGCCCACTGGAATGTCTCACAGCTGAAGAAGCACTGGAAGCACTCGCTGGTCTACGCCAGGAAATGTGGATGACAGCTACGTGGCCAACAGACTGGCAGAGATCCATATCTGTGCCCGTTCCAAAGGAAGGTGCCCAACAGAGGGCTCAAGCCGGAGGGTTCTATCACTAATAGCACATGCAAATAAGTCTTGCTTCAGTTCATCCAACGCCGGTGGCAGCTGTACATTCACATGGAGCTTCCCAAGATTCCAGCCAGATTCAGAAGAGGACAGGGAACATTCCTGATGTCAGATGGATCTTGGCTGAAAGCAGAGAATTCCAGAGAGACGTTGACTTGTGTCTCATGGGCTACGTGAAGGCATCCGATTGCGTGGACCGTAATACACGGTGGGCCGCCTTGAGAAGAAGGAGATCCCAGAACCCTGCACTGTGGTCGTGCAGAACGTACGTGTACTGGGTCAAGAGGCAGCGTGAGGACAGAACGGGGGCACTGCAGGGTTTAAAACCAGGGAAGAGGTGGCCAGGGTTGTGTCCTCCCACCATACTGTCCACTCTGTGGGCCGAGCACATCCTCAGAGGAGCTGGATTACAGGAATCAGAGGGCATCGGGATCAGAGGAAGGTCATGGACAACCTGTGGTGTGCACATGACAGAACCCTGCTTGCTGACAGAGAGGAGGACTTGAAGCCCGTGCTGATGAGCATCAAGGACTGCGGCCCCAGCGTGGACGACGACTCCATGTGAGGAAGATCAAGTCCTCACCGCTGGACCAGCAGGTAGCATCATGATCAATGGAGAAAAGGTTGAAGTTGTCAAGGATTTTGTTTTATTTGAATCCACAATCAATGCTCATGGAATCAGCAGTCAAGAGGTCAAAAAGTGAGTTGTACTGGGTAGATCTGCTGCACAAGAGCTCGTCAGAGTATTAAAGAGCAAGGGTGCCCCTTGGAGGACCAGCCGTGGGTTCTCCGCTGCATCCTATGCCTGTGACAGTTGGACACTGAATAAGGAAGACTGAAGGAGAACCTATGCGTCTGGACTGCGTGCTGGGGAATGCCCACAGTAGCACAGACTGCTGAAAGGGCACACCCATCTGTCTCGGAGGAAGTGAGGCCGAGTGTTCCCTAGAGGCCAGGACGCGGGGCTCCGTCTCACGTACATTGGACCAGTTGTCAGGAGAGCAGCTGGTTGAAGAAATGAGCAGAGAAGAAAGATGGCCTGGAATGTCGCCCACTAGAGGGCGCGCGCTCCTGCAGGGCCCCCACCCCCAACCTGAAGCTGGCTCCCCAGGGCTGGGACTGACCCCTGCAGAGGCCCGCACCGTGTGGTCTGGTCACGGGGCCTCGCACTAGAGGACATCTTCTGTCCCTGTGGACCGTCACTGCTCTCCAGCCAAATGTCTCCTCCAGGAGGGGCCACTGAAGACTGGAGCCTTCCTTCCTGGTCAGCCCTAACCTGGGAATGCCAATGAAACATGGGCTTCGTCGCAGCAGACAGGGGAAATACATGGACAGGGGACGGGCGCGGACAAGTCCCGGGAGAGAGCTGGGGTGGAAGGCTCCCAGCCTAGGTCCCCAGGCCTGGTCAGAATCTGCCATCTCCCTGGGATCAACCCTCCAGGCCTTTCCCTGCTGGACCTGGGTGGGTGCTGACCACTGCCCTCTGAGTTAGCAGCTTCAAGCCTCGCCGTCGGCCCCTTAGCTCCCTATGCCGGTTAGGGCCACAGGGCCCACTCTGTCCCTGGTGGGCTCGGCCAGGTGCTGACCCCAGTCCCTCAGTTTCACCAGCAGGCGTGGCCTCTCCGTCAGCCCCTACCTGGGCGGCTCCTCCAATGGCTACTCACACCCTAGTGGCGCAGCCCTGCACTACGACGACGTCCCCTGTATCAACGGATCGGTGAGTAGCCCATCCACACCGGGCAGGGGGCGGTCACCACCACGGACCCGGCTGCCCACAGGGGACAGCTCCTTTGTGTGACTGAGGCCCGGTGGTGGGTGAGGCCCCAGCCCAGCCCTCCCCTAAGAGGCAGCCGAGGGGCAGCAGGGTGTGACCACACGTAGCCATTCCCGTGCAGAGAGACGCGGAGAGGCCAGGGCCAGATGGCAGACACCGGACTCTTCCCTGGGGTCAGCTTTGAGGAGCAGGGTCACACCACATGGGGCCTGGGCCAGTGCTGACTCACATCCACAGGGCAGTGTCCGAGCCCCCACATGGAGCCCCAGGGCCCAGCTCTACTCTCACTCACAGGAAGCCATAGCTCCGGGCAGGCTGGTCCGGCTCAGGCATCACTGAGTGTCCACCGTTGGTGCCCCACCGGCCCCTGGGGTCAACAGGACTCCAGGTCTGTCCCCAGGCTCTCGTGTCTGGGATTTGTGCTGTCCACAGCCCTCATCCACGCACATGGGCTTGGCTGTCTCCAGGTGACCCGTTGGACCACACTGACTGTGCATTGAGGGGCTGTCTGCACTCGAAGCCCAGGTGGCCCTTTCCCATCCATCCACTGCCCCGTCGGCTTCCTCGGCTCAGAGCCTGCCCCTCCCAGCAGCCGCTCGGGTGCGATGTTCAGGACACAAGAGTCTAGGCGGGGGCAGGCGGGGTCACCTTCAGACTCGTCTGCCGGTGTCTCCCGGGAGCCTTTACGTCCAGGTCACAGGAAGTCACGCTCACTAACACCCAGGGGCCCATTGAGACACCCGGGGAAATGGAGACCAGGCCACTCAAGAGGGCTCTCTCTCTCACTCTCTCTCTGATCTCAGGAAGGTTCTGTCCGTCTCTGAGTCAGCTCTGAAGAGGGTTTTCTCCCCTCTCACACACACTTATTCTCTCACACTCAAACACACTCACACACTCTCACATGCACTCACACCCACACACTCTCACTCATTCTCACACACACATTCACACAATCACACACACAGTCTCTTACATTCTCACACTCTCACCCACACACTTATACACTCACACTCACACACACTCTCACACTCCCATTCTTTCTCACACTCGCACACTTTACATCTAGACTTTTCTACAGGTGTGTCTCAGAGTTTACTTGTGACCTGTCTTCTGGCCTCTTAGGGAGTGATGCTCTGGTCTGGATGGTTTTGAGCACCCTGGCCCATGGCCTTGCCCCTTGGCCTCCATCACAGAGCTCACCGAGGTCATGGGACCAGGGATCTGAGACTGTAGACAGGTCCCTAGCCCCAGGGTCCACTGATCAGGGGGACCACTGATCTGAGGCTGTTCTTGGGTCCCCAGCGCCACAGAAATGGACACTAGCAGATGACCTCCTTGGGGGACCGCCTGTGGGGGGCCACAGGCGGTACTATTTTTGTGACAAAAGCTTCTAACTTAGGCCTCTCTGTCCGAGCTCCAAAGTCCCTCTGCCCAGGGAAATCATGATGGATCCCCCAGTGGTGTGGGCAGCTGTGTCCTTGGCTGTTCTGACCCAAAGGCTTGTCCAGCTGCTTCTGAGAGCCCCTGGGGCTCTGAGACCGTGGGGTTGCCCATCAGCAAGACAGGAGGGCGCCCTGGTGGTGCTATGGTCAGGCCAGGCTGCTAATCACGGAGTCAGCGGTTCAAACCCCACCAGTCCCTCCAGGAGAAAGATGAGGCTACTGCTCCCCTTGAGACTGATGGCCTGGAAAGGCCGCCCCGCACGGGCCACCCCTGGGTGGCAGTGGTTTTCATTGGGAAGTCAGCAGGCCTGTCTTTAAGCGTGGGACTCTTACACCCCGCCTGGACCTCATCTTCACATCACCATGACTTCCAGGTCAGGTGGGTGGGCTACGGTGGCACGCAGGGTCCGCCCACAGCCCCGCCCAGGGCGCTGGGTGACGCCCACTACCCCCTGCCTGTCCCGCTCACCTCCTCTCAGAGGCCCGCCCCTCAGACCCGGCGCAGGCGCAGTGTCTAGAATGTGTCCTCAGTGCGCAGCGCTGTCACCACGTGTGTTACCACGTGCATCACCTGCGTGCGTCACCGCGTATCCCTGCTTCTCCAGAGAGGCGCACCGGAGGCCTTTCTCCGCTTCAGAAAACGGAGCGGAAGGGAAGCCCCACAGCCCACGACGCCTGGAATGATTCATGGGGGCCGGGGCCGGAAGGGGGGGCTTCTCAAGTCTTGGAGCCCCCCCTGGATGCAGGGGCTTTATCGATGAAAACGAGGTGGGGTGGGGGCGGTGTTTGTAGTCGGCTGCTAACCCGCAGGAATCCAGTTCTAGGAACAGGGGTGCCGCCGAGCGAGGCCGCGTGCTCCGCTGTCCCCCGCGCTCTGTGGCGGCGGCGGTCGGTTCACCTCGCGGTCGCTGTGGGCCCCACCGGAGCTGGCCACCGGGAGCGGCCGGCGGGTTTGAACTGCCGACCTCGCGGCCCAACGGGGCCTGTGGGGCGCCTGCCCGTGTCTGGGCCGCGCGGGGGCAGCGGTGCGGGGTGGGTTTGCCCGGGCGCGGCCCGCCCCCTCTGCCCGCTAACCTCCCAGCTCTGTGTATTTCAGTGGGACCCCGAGGACAGCCTTCCCGCCCCCCGCAGCAGAAGCACGGGAGAAGAGGTGTTCTATGATAACGCGGGCCTCTATGATAACTTGCCGTCTCCGAAAATCTTTGCTCGCTACCCACCCGCCGAGAGGAAGGGTCCTCGGGCGCCCGCTTCCCACTGCGGCTCCTCTAACCACTACAAGCGCCCCGCCTCGCCCAGTCTGTCCGCCCCCCTGCCTCTCACTAACACCTCTTCTCAGGGGAGGGCGTCTGTCGGGCCCGGCTCCCAGGTACACAGCGCGCTCCCCGAACGGTCTGCCCCTGAACTGCCCGCTCCCTCTCCGACTGCGGACCCAGGTGCCAACCTTTGTGTTCGCAATAGGGCTGGGGGTCAGGCGCAAACCCCACAGCTGCTCCGCAGGAGGGCGGTGAGGCTATCTGCTCCCATGAGGATTTACAGCCCTGGAGACCCTCGGGGCAGTTCTACCCTGGCACCCCCGCAGGGTCGGCGTCCGCCCAGTAGAGGTGGATTTGTAGTATAGATTTGCAAACTCAGTTCACAGGAGGCACCCAAGAAATAGATGTAATAGCCTCCCACAAGCCGAGTTGCCCGCCATACTGGAGCTCCCTGCCATCTCCAGCCTGCAGGAGCCGGTAGAGCCACCCCTGTGGGTTTCTGAGACTACTTTCGGGGTGTAGAAAGCTCTGTCTTCCTCCTTTGGAGTGGCTGGCAGTTTTGAACCGCCGACTGTACGGGTTGCAGCCTGCCACTACAGCCAGTGGGGCCCCTTCCCTCTGCGCCCCCTCTGCATGTGACTCTGCCCCTTCTTGGGAACGCCCTCGGTGGCAGGGTCCGGGGTTCTGTCCAGTGCAGGCGGAGCCTTGCTTTTTCAGTAGGCAGGGGTCCCTGGGCTCCTGGCAGGAAGGGCTTTTGTACTTTAAACGGCTCCGCAAATTCTGGGAACTGCCCCTAAGGAGCAGGAACGTGTGTCCCTGGAGCCCAGGAAATGACCCGCGGGATTTGGAACGCTCTCTGAGGATAATAAGCGCCCTGTTGATTGAGCTGCCGCCCTAACCCTACCACCCACCCACCACGTGGCCACAGAAGGACCCACTGACTTGCCCTCTGTTTGCTGGCCGCTCGCTCGCGCCGACGGACGCCCCCCTCACCTCAAATGGGCGCGAGGATGCCACCCTCCCCCTGCCCCATTTTTTTTAGGGGGGCGGTCCTTAGGAAGCACAGTACACCAGCCACCGCCTGAACCTGCAATTCTGGTAGTCGCACGGGAAGATTTTTTTTTTTTTTTGCTTCAAGGTTTATTTGAGGGGCATTTTTACTTTCAAAGACACCTGCATGGACGCCAGCCCTGGGGATTCTGGGTCCGTGGCCTTGAGGGCCAGAGGGCTACCCTCAGGGATGGCTCCCTCCGGTGCAGCCCCTGCCTGTATTGGCCGTGGACTTGGAGGGCAGAGAACACGGTGTGCTGCTCACTGCTCCGGTGCTGGGACCTGATCCCTGGGGGCTGGGCGGTGAAGCGCCCCGCTGCCACCTGAAAGGTCAGCGGTTTGATCCCAGCGGCCCCGTAAGAGAAGGCTGAGGCCACCCACCCCTGTGGGGACAGCAGTGCCATGAGGCCGATGAGGCCACCCATAGTGTCCTGCAGGCCCATTCTGCACCAGAGGCACCTCCCCCGCACAGTGTTTGGGATGGGCTGTGGGGAGCAGGATGTGGTATTTGGTTGACCCCAGCACAGGGTGGTCCATGTGGCCAGTGTTTCCCCTTAGTTTTTGTGTAGCTTTTATGGTTTTCTAAGTTCAGTTTTGCGTAGCTTTTAACGAGGACACAGACCCACAGTCAGATGGCAGCGCCTTCAGCCTCTCACCCTTGTGTGGTTACTTCGGGGTGGGGGGAACGGGGTGCCCCCCACCCCCCGTAGCTTCCCGTCATACAGTCTCTGGAACCCTGAGAGCAGGCCCCCACTTTAAACAAGGACATGGAGCATCAGCTTCCTGGGGTGGGGGGAGTCAGAATTTTAATTTTTAACAACTCTTTTGGGGGATGGGGGCCTGCACAGTGATGCCCTGAGAGGGCGCCCATCAGACAGTGCCTGCTCCTGCAGCCCAGTGAAATGTGCCCCACCCCACCCCCGCAGAAAAGCCCCATTGTCGCTTCCTCTCTAACCCTCGCCAAGCGGCTTCGCCCTCGTCAGCCCCGGGCTGCCCCTGTGGCTTGTTGAACCTTTCCACTTGCTGCCGTCAGCCGCTCCTCATTACAAAACTCGAGTGCCTATCAGAACAAAGCACAAAGCCCAGTGCCGCCCTTGTCCACTCTGACTCTCTACTGTCCTGTGCTCCCACTCCAGCGAGCTACAACCACAGGCGGAGAGCCAAGGTTCCAGGGCAAACACAGTGGGGCGTGCGCTGACTCAAATCACTAGCTTCTCCTGGGGGCCCTGCTCAGGGATGACAGAGGGCATTGCCCTCTCAGGGCATCACTCAGCAAGAAAGCCCTGGGGACAGAAAGCCTGTTGCCCCCAGGACTGCCCAGCAAGCATGGAAGCCCCAGGCCCCACACCGCAAGGTAGTTGGAATCACTGGTGGGTCTTAAGGTTGTCATTTGCTGTGCCAACCTCCTGAGACGCCATCATTCTGTGACCTTCCAGCCAGACCATTCTGGAGAGAGATCCCTCGTTCTTGGGATCTTATTTCTAGAAGCTTCTTAAGACTCTCAGGAATGTCCCACCAGCCCAGGGCGGTGGAAACCAGGTTGGTTTCCTGTGACCTTCACATGATTCTGCCACATGGAGTTCTGCTTTAAACGAGCCCCAGGTCAAAAAGGTTTTATTGGGAAGAGACACCCCAATTCCGTGCCGGTGCTAATTTCCTCTCACATTGTTCCCACAGTTGAAGAGTAAGAAGCCCCCAGCGGCATCCAACGGGGTCACAGGCAAAGGGAAGACACCGAGCGGGCCGCAGAGAAAGGCGGACCCCACAGCCGGCGTGAAGCGAACCCCTTCCGGTACGTGTGCGCTGCCTGCAGGCAGGGCTTTAACAGCGTCATCTCTGCTCACCTGTTCAGGTGGACACTGGAAACGGGGCAGTGCTGTCCACCTTGGCAGGTGTGGAAGGGAAGGCAGGTGGTTTGTCGGCTGTGGAGCTGGTGGTTGCTGCTGTGGCCCTGTTGGCCCATGCCCACCATCGGGGGCGGGCAGGAGGGGGGAGAAATAGCTGAGCCTGGGTCTCCTGGTGGGCGCAGAGGGCTCAACCACAGACCCACCACTGCCTCATGCGAACTGATGATGGGCCTTATCCCTGAGTCATGTGGGAGGCAGGCAGCCTGGTGCCCCCAGACTCAGAGCCCCCTACCCCGGGTATCATGGTGGCTCACACTAGGGGTCAGCTGTTCACCTCAGTCCTGTGGCCGCCATCAGACTGGCTGCTTCTCCAGGGCCGATAGAATGTAATCATCCTTCAGTTTGTGATCTACTGTGAGCAGCCAATCGGCTGAAAACCAGTCAACAGGAAGCCAGTCCATTTCTTGGGGGGGCGGCCTGCAGCGGGTCTATGTGGTAGTTCTGGCAAAGCTCATACTCTGGATTCTGCCAGCGTTTGTTGCCGGCACCTGCTGACAGCCCTGCTTTCCTGCTCAGCCAGAGGGTCCTCCCCCTGCAGAGGAGGACCTCCTTGCCCCGGAAGCCAGGCTTCAGGCTGCAGCGTGAGCAGGGCAGGGGATGCGGGGACACACGCTGGGCATCCTCGGCCTGGATTGGTCTCTGAGGTGCTGCTGTCACTTGGCTACAGGGCCCGGGTCGTGTGGGGGGCATTGAGGGCTTTACTGGAACAGGGGCACCTGGGGGAAGCACAGTGTCTGGAGCCGCTGTGACAGCTACCGAAAGAAATCCGGGTGCAGAGGGTCTGCGGAGTCAGCCCTGAGGGTCCAAGGTCAGCTCCCAAGGGAACACAGGACCTGCAGCTTCACAGCGCGCACGCACTATGACACTGTATGCAGTGACACCGGTACACTCTTCAGGCCATGCCTCCTCCCTGGATGCCCTGCACCGCTCCCCTGCCCTCCCGAGCCACCGCTGCCCACTGTCACCCAAGCTCCCAGTGCTAAATGCACAGGCGTTCACATCTGAGGCCACTGGAGGCTCAGGGTGCAGAGAGGACGTGGAACAAGGGATATCATTGCTGATGCCAGATGGATCTTAGCAGAAAGCAGAGCATTCCAGAAAGATGTTTCCTCATGCTTTACTGACTGTGCCAAGGCCTTCAGCTGTGTGGGTCATAGAAAACGATGAATTAATTACACTGAATGTGGGAATTCCAGAACCCTTCCTTGTGCTCATGCGGAACTTGTACGTGGATCAAAAGGCAGTTGTGTGAACGGAACCAGGGAATACGGCATGGTATAGAATCCGGACAGGTGTGCGTCGGGGTTGGATCCTCTCAGCAGACTGATTCAGTCTGTATGCGGAGCACACCATCAGAGAAGGTCTGGGTGGACTAGGGAAACAAATCCAGAGATGCTCGTGTTTTATATCCAAGAGTCCTTGTCTGTGAAGAAAAGCATCCCGGCCCAGTCCAGTTCAAGTCCATAATTCCGACAATAGCCCATGTGTCTGATGCCAGTCTGTACAGTCCTCTTCAGACTCACGCAGCACATGCAATGACGCCCAAAGCAGGAAGATCCAGGCCAGTGGGTGGAACGTCTGTGGAAGCATCTCAGGGCCGGGTGGGTCTCCACGTGGCTCCTCCAGCTCCAGGGCTCTGGCTCCATCAGCGTAGCCCCATTTGACTTGTCAACAGGAATGTGTAGCAGAAAGTGTGTCCTGCCTCCAGGGAGGAAGACAGGCGTTCCCAGAATCCTCAGGATAAGGCCACGCCCACACAGAGGTCTTGGCTATGACCTGACTGATGGGCTAGACTCCACCCCTTTATTCTTATTTATCAAGTTGCTGTGAAACTGTGTAACTGCCACACTGGCTTGTTTGAGGAAGAGTGTGGCTTCAGGATGGGAGGGAGGCTCAGGACGACACAGCCGTGCTTGCTGACGGTGGGGAGGACTTGAAGCCCGTGCTGATGAGGCTCGGGAATGGCAGCCTTCGGTGTGGATCATAAGACCGAAATCCTCACCACTGGACCCACAGGTGGGTCCCCCCCACATGATCGGTGGGGAACAGGTTGGCACGGTCACGGTTTTTGTCTTCCTTGGATCCAGCAGTTAGGAGCCTGAGCGATGCATTGCGTTAGGTAAATCCTCCCCACAAGTCCTCTCTACAGTCTCAAAGAGCAAGGATGCTCTTTGACGGCATCAGCTCCACATCCAGGGGTCAGTAAACCCAGCTCTTCCCAATTCAGTGTCCAGAGGCACCCTCTCAGCGAGCCAGCCTCCTGCACAAAAGCCTCAGCTTCACTGCCCCGGGGGCCCAGGAAGTCCACATTCTGCCCCCTGGTTCTGCTGCTGCTGCTCTGATGGTACAGCTGTCACTCGGATCCAGGAGGTTCCCTGCACAGGGATCTCGGGTCCAGGGGACACGCTCCTCTCCTGGCTCCTGATGGTCATGAGATCCCTCCTCCTACTGCTCAGAGGGCTCAGTTTACAAGCAGGGGATGGCTCTCCAGGGGGAATCCTGTTCACAGTGACTCACAGTGAATCTTACAGCACCTTCCCTGCCGCCTGCTCACCAGACCCATGCAGGGAAAGGTCGTGGGTGGGCGTGGAGACTGGCTAGAAGAGCCACGCTCGGTGAGGCACTGCCCAAGATTCACAGCCTTGGAATGCCAG